TTGCCTGCTGCTATGTACATTGCTAGGTTTTGCACGAAATAACTAGAAAGACATTGGCTTTATTTCACCGCAGCCTTCCTATTGCATTCTCTAAGCGTACAATGAAATTTAAGACTGTTCCAATTACTGTATTAGTTAATGATTTCTATGAGAACTGACAAAATTTAATCCTTCCCGGTCTCTGGTATGAATATAATTACTCAGCATTGATAACTATTTTAAACACATCCTTAGCTAAAATTATATGAAATAACTTACGCCAAATTGCTGTTTGGGACTTAGGTTTACACGTAACCTGCTGCAGAAGAGAAAACATAAATAAAAACAGTTCTGTGGTAACTTTTGCTCTAGTGTGTAGCTCAAAATCCTTGTCACAGGGTTATCCCGCTCGAATTCAACGCTAACACTTCATCTAAACGAAATCCCCATTAAACCAGTCACATCAAGCTTCAAAATTTCTGTTTTGTAGTTCTTTTGCTGCTGTATTGATTATAAAATGTCTTTTAGGTTCATACAAAAAATATTAAAAGTTGTACAGGACCGTACATTGTTGGTCTAAAATCGCTCAGAGGTATTGTTGGGCTATGCAACCCAGTATATAAAGGTTTCACGCTCTCAAGATAAATATGATAAATAAGTTCCTTCGTTCTTGATTGATAAACTGTGTCTCCAAACTATGTCCACTTGGGATGAATTTTCTTTCAAGTCCAAACCTCCTCATTCATCTGGTTATTGTTGTTTTGATTTCTCTGATGGGCAACCAAAGGTAGCAACAAAACCAGGACCTAAACGCTTTACAGTAAGGGTTGTACAAACCAAACTGTGAGAGACTGAAGTTTATGTAGCACATGCCCTTAGACCTTTTAGTTCTCCTTGAATAAGTGAATAAGGAGGCCACAATGAGTAAACTTTTGTTCGTTTGAGTTAATAAAGCTAGTTCAAGTTACAGGAGGAAACCTACGGATGTCCCATCTGAAAATAGATTTTTACCGTGATTGGCAAGTACTCATTTTAGACTGTACCATGCAAGAAGACGTTATAGAAAGATCCATGGATACCTTCTTGATTAATTAACGCTTAAACTTCAGTAACTTTATCTCAAACAATATTTGTGGGCGTGAAGTTCATATAAGTTAGGAATCGGATATCAAAATACACTTCAGATTTAAGAAGCGTTACCCAGCTGATAATCATTTAGGTAAATGTGTTTTCACAACCATAATTCCAAGAGTTCTACTTGTATCACCTTCAAGTTTCAGCATTGTTGATTTTTTAGTACTGAATTGTACGCAAAGTGTTTTATTTCATAACAAGTAGTATGTGAATGGTTGGACAAAGTTTCCCTAGAAGCAAACGACCGGTTTCGCGGTTCTTGCCGCTGGTCAGGCATGCGTATCCGGTAATCTTTTGTCAGTTCATTTATACACTTGTACTCAGGAAGTGTATTTTCGTCACAATAACCTTGTTTGTAACACCGGGTAACTATTGGATAGACAGCTCTTTCAGAGCCAGTCCAATGAAGAATCAATATTATGAATCGGTGTTTTATTTCATCTTTACAGGCTAGATTACGTCATGCTATTACAAGGCTCTCGGTCAGAAATCAACGTTCGATACTACTACGACGCCGTGAAACACAAAGTAATGTCTACATTTTATCAAAAGTGCTTACAATCGTTTTTAGGTCTAACGGAGGAACCAAAACTGAAAAGATTTCAAGTAAGAATGATTGTTTTGACTTCTTGGTTGAAATTAGAAGACTGATTCTAGAAGGAACAGTCTCTGTTCAAATAACATTTTCTAAGCATTTTTCCACAAGAAATTAAGCAATGCGTCAGAAGCCTTTGACAACTTTTAAAACCCAGCGATAAATGAACTCATTCTTTTGGTGTACTCATTGACTGCATTATAAAACATATCAGTCCCTTTTATTTAAGTTTTTCCTTGGATTTTAGTGATGATCTTATATTAAACCAATAAGGACCAACAGCTATTTCAACAATTTTGGAAATAAATCTTTTAAATAAAGCAAACCTCCTAACACTGTTTCTCAGGGTATTTATACCTTCACGCTAGATCATATTTTATTCATCCTGGGTTTTCTTTCAACTAGTACCTGACGTTCAGTTCCGCCCTGTTAATGAAGCCAATAATCAGGCACTTTCGAACGACGTTTTTGTTACTGTGTTTTAGCTACCCGTTTGGGTTCCAGAATAGAGAAAGGATTGCAATGTTAGAAGCAGTTTTCAAGGGAAAATAGGGATTTCAGGTAGAGTAAAACTGGGAAAGAATTAAGTTGATGCTCAAGCGCCTGCATTCGTAACCATCGAATGCCAAGGCATCTTATCTTAGGTCATATAAACCCCTTTCCTTAACAGGTGCAATCTACGAAGCAAAGCATCTATGTGGGTGCACTGTTGTGATTATTTTGCATGCATCACATGAACATTTGTTGTTTTCTTGTTTCACCACTAACGGATGTGCGAGTGTCCACCAAGGTAGCTGAGTTCAATCAGACCCATCACTTGGTAGTGGGTCAGTATCCATAGTTTTCTAACCACTTTTGAATAGCTTCTTTGATTAGGATCTCGTGGGCAGAGAACTAAGAGACGGCGTTAGAGCTACGCTTCAAATGCCTACTCGTAACTATCAAAACAACAAAAGCCGTCGCAGAAAAGTGCTAGGTTATTGGTAATATAAAATACGCTAGCTATTATGTCTTGCCGTATCCGTACAACGTAAGGCAGACAAAGGGGGGTCGATAATTTTCAAACCGTAATATTTATCTTGGTTCATTACACAGAAACAACGGAGCGATTGCTGCAGGCTTTACTCTACTCTCCATAGACAGCCCGATTTTACAGCAACAGAGGACAACTTTCAGGTTTGGAACTGCAAATCGAGTTCAAAAGAAAACAAAAGTAGTATTCCTGGGTTATACCAGGATTTTTTCAAATTACTGTTTTTCTGGTGCTGCCGCAAAGAATAAGACGGATCGTGTTTGATCGATATTGATGAGAGAGCGCAATGAGAAACGCTGCCTAAGAGCGCTCAAAGTTTTAAACTGTGTCGAAGTCCAAGGCTAATAGGTTGGATAAAGTATAGTTCTGGTGTTTTCACTGTTTTAAGCTGATATTTATGTACATAGCAGTTACTTGAGTGTAATGAGGGATGTGGTTTGACCATATGTTGAATTGCAAGAAGTACAAAGTGCAATGCCTGCCTTGAGCTCGCAAAGATGGGTTGTTCTACATCGCATATAATATAAATAAAAATCATAGGCAACATAAGCTAACATTTGCGAGTAGTATATTTAGAGTGCACATTGGGGATAGGATTGGCGGTTTCTCCCAACGATCAAAAATGAACATGACCTGGAGCCAACCAGTGTGTTTGAAATTGTACCTACATCTACGGCATTGCGTCTTCCACCGGACTGTTTCATCAGTTATCCCGTGTGCTTATCGAAAAGAAGACTGATCTGTTACAGATGAGATGCTATGATATTTATAATCCGATTCATCCGTGGTAGTATCCTTATTTCGAATCGATATCCTCAATCCGCACTGAACCTTTGAAGTTATAACGATGGTCGTTTATCACAATAGACAACTAAGCGATTTTTCACAATAGTATGTTAACCGGCACAAATACTCCATGATGTGCGAACCATCTTGGCCTCGTCATTCTAATTCCTTTTGTCAATTATTTTCCCAAAACATCCAAATTATACAAAGAGGCAAAGAAAATACACTGATATTCTCGTCCTTTTGAATTTCCCTAAATGTTTTCTTCATATCTTCCAAAGTTCCAATCAAAGCTCCCTTTCTATTGTCATACTCTTCTCGTCGTAATCACCCGACTTTGTTAACTATATACATATATATATGTATATATATGTATATATATATATACGAGTAAAGACTTGATCAATGACTTTGTTGAAAATATTGAATAAGTAAATTTTGGTTTCAAATTAAACAAGTCATTTGCTGATGAAAGATTCCGAAATAGTTGTTTATTTTCTAGAATCACGAGAATTATATACTTATGGGATGCGTTGTAGGCGGAACCTCGAATGCATGGTTATTATGTCTTCGCTTAGCTTTCGTTGAGGATCCAAATTAATGCTCAGCTTTTATGAAAAATCTGTAGAACGATCTCCTCAATCGGTTTGCACCAAATATCCCATTGTTTATCTTCATCCATTCCTAATTGGTGGTAACAATAGCAGATTTGGGCTTATAAATATGTGGAAAATAATTAAAGGTTTCCAATAGACTCAATTATTGGTTGCTGCGGTGGAATTTCTCTGAGTAGATACCAACAAATAGATTTGTCAAAAGGAATTACTCCAGAGAAGAACCATCTTGTCATTAAGACTAAGTTATGATTTCCCGAGAGAGCTCAAGGATTGAATTGTTTTGAGCCATGCCACGTACCATAATCCTCGGTGTTTAACTTCAATCTTTCAGTTGGAAGAAAGAGACGAACTATCGAATACCGATGAAAACTATGTACAAGAAACATTCGAAGTTCTTGACCTACCTGACCCTGGTTTTTTCCAAAAGTTGCCTGCACTTCCTCGAGCTCCTAATTCGGAACCACCCGCACCTGGCTCGTCAAAGTCGGATGCAATGGAGAATGACCGGGAAAACCGAAGTCAAGTGTTGGAGCGTTTGACAGGCAAGCGGCGTATCAAACACAACTTATGTCTGGAGAACTGGCGCAGCGAGTTGAGCCGAATCGGTCAAGTGCGTTTCAAATCTGTCTCAGTTTCATTTCAAACATTTATTAACACTAGACCTAATTTTTGCGGGTTTGGTTTCCGGTTTGGCTACCATTCTGGTCAGCCAATGGACAAGAAGAGAAGAGGTTGAATTAGTGTGCCGATACAGGAAATTGTAGGATATATTGTCCGTAAGAGTAGCTCATTTCCAACACTGGGTGCATTTATTTGGATCGACCTTTGTGATCAGTTCCTTACAAATCACGATGCATCTTTTTATCTTTCTATTTCCCCCCTCTTATTTTTCTTCGTTTTATTGGATACACAATCATAATTTTTAAAAGGAGGCAGTGGCCAATCTCAGTGTAACGATAACACACAAAATAGGGGAAAACTGAGACGAAGTTGTTGGGATTTAAACACACGTCCGCCTTGGCGATAATCTGGTGACCGCTGGGGTTTGATGCTACAAGCAGCAATATACCTGAGTTAGCAGTATTTGACAAAAAATTTCCCAATGTTTAGCGTACAAGTGACTCGACTAAATTTCCCTGGAACCATAATGCCCGTTTAGCGTCTTCTGCCACTCCTAAGACACTTATCCGGTAATCTGTTCTCAGATAATTCCCATACCTTTACCCCGGCCCGTCCAAATAACTACACCCAGAGACAGTCATCCTTTTCAACACTCAGTTAAATCACTTTAGGTGATTTAAGTTCGTTAGTGAACTATAACGGTGCAGTTTGCTTAATGACACTGATACTCCAATAAAGGTATGAATATTGATTTGTACAAACATACAAATGATATAAAGTCATGAAATAAGCCGATCGTCAGAACAATAATGGCATGAGAACATATAATTTCTGTGATTTCATACTCGAGCCAGTGCAACCAAATTATTGCGAGAAGATAACAAAAATTGAGATTAACTCACGATTGCAGAGGATTAGGGAAATATGTTTATCTCTGGTTCTCATATTCGGACACCAACTGCATTTCATAACCGTTTGCAATAGGTTCGGTTTGTCACCCCACTCACGAACGATATGGTCCATCTTTAACCAGAGTAGCTTTGTGCCGGAAATAGGTCTTTTTGTAGATCACGTCTGGTTTTCACAAGCGGATAATAAGTTCCTCCACTTTTGCAAGCATATTCATTCGAGAAATCCTAGATTCAGTCGTTGGACTAGGTAAAAGGGAAATTAGTATGCATCAGGTACAAAGGCTCTACCAAATGTGCAAAAATTACACTTGAGATGACCTCTTTCTATCCGCCTCTTAACCCCGCGACGTAATATTCCAAGGTGCATTTAGACAGATGTTTCGTCCGACAACCGAGTTAAGTGGCAGAACCGGTGCGCTTAAATCGTTAAATGATGAGGTTACCATTGATAACTTATACTTGTTCTGAAGTCGGCTGGTTAGTGATTGCAAGAACATGTTTCTGAGTTTGACAGGATTGAACGTTTTAACCAGGGAATGAGCTTGTCATGAGAAATGTGCAATAAAATAGATTCTTATGGTCACTAGAGTAAACAGTAATACTGCGCACACTCCCTTTGATGCGGTCAGAAGCAACAACACGAGAGACTATTCTCTCGGTATGATTCCAATGTCCTTCGGTGTCTCCAGTAAATCGTTTACAGTTTTTCGGATCCCAAACTAGGGCACTCGTACCATACTTAACCTACCAGTTATTTTGCTTGTTCGTTTCTATTTTTCATATGATCTGTTAACCTCTCCTTGATTTCCTCAACCATAGATCGACAAACAAAGTGAGGTGCGGCAGAAGAACATTTGGGGAATATGCAATACGTACCCTAAGCAGTTTCATTTTAAACAGCCACTGTGTTGCGGTGGTTTTTGTTGCAGGTGTAATGATTAGTCATGGCTACTGTATCCTAGCCGTGGAATTTGGAACAACTGAACCAAAGGCTTTCTAGCCCAGTGATTGGTAGTCAATTTTCACCTTGGAATTCTCTGGGCTCTTTACAGATTACCCAACTAAATGAATCTACGATTGTCGAGAACTATTAGATGAACTACTTCCTAATCAATGTATGAATTCAATTTATGCTAGGTGTGACTCAAAAACTCCATGATCTCCATGTTTACTGACCCGGTCCGATTTTGTTTTACCCAATCTACGTGATTCTCCTTCATTGGGGCTAACACCTTGTGCTATTCTATCAAAACGAGGTATTTCACAAATGCATTCGGAAGAACACATCCCCATCAATGAAGTCAACAGAGTTGGTTTGCCCTTGTTTCGAATATGAATCACAGGTTTTCCTCGAAATGTATGACGTAATACAACAGGGATGAAATTGCTATTAGTTACTGTACCCGAGGGTTTGATTAGTTTTACCTATATCGCTTAAATGACAAAGTCATGAACAGATCTTCCTTTCTCATGGTTTTTATGGGAATATTTAGCATTCCGTCAATTTACTTTCTAATAATCTGACCTTAGTGGTTGTTATCAGATAAGAGGGAACTCCATTTTTTGTTTACTATATCTTCAGAGCAGATTTTCCTCAGATATTTAACAAATTAACGGCCTTTTTGGACGCCAACGAATTCCATATCCCAGACCAATCATACTAGCTATCGGTATACGCTTCGCTTGATAAAATCAACTTCCTAAAGTGTTAGAGGTGCGATTCACGTTCACTTGTGAACCGCACTGCCTTGTTCATTCTGGTAACTTTTATTCGCGAAGTTGATGTTGTGGCTGACACCAATAACGCAAAATGCATCACCCTCATATTTTTACCATCGTTCGAATGTTAAGTTTATCAGCCCAACAAATCGATTTTGATTACTTTAAAAACTTGAGGCAGTGTTTACCCATGAGGAAACCATTTTTATTTTGCAGCGTCGCTTTTCAACAGTACTTTATATTGTCATTCTATGAATCTAACACTGAACATTGTCTTGAATCCAAATTGGAATGCACGATAGTCTTAAAAATACCAGTGTTCAACAACAGTGGAATTCACAACAGTGTTCTGACACTCACTGAGGTCTTAGGAATGAAGATAATAGATTCTAGTAATAACGTTATTTTTCCCAAGATTGTGGAAGCTTGTGGCCAACCTAATTCTCTGGTTAGACCATCACCTTTGTATTATGTTGCATTTTGATGACTTTTTCCGATATCTGCGGGGATGTTTCAGCCAAAAAGTGAATAGTAACTTCTACACTAGGACAAAAAATGATGCGAATACCATGCATAAAAACAATGCGAAAACAACAAAAGGGGATGGTTTATGTTGACTTGAAATAATTATTGATATGACAACCTGTTCGTTGTTCAGAAACGTTAAGTTCAGCGCATGCAATAAATAACCAAACATTTCCGTGCGGTGACTTTAGTTACTATCTTTTGGTTACCCACCGAAACGAATGAGTAAAGGAAAGATTGGAATGTTGGAAGAGCCAACTAGATTAGCATTAAAAATTTGCAAATTCACAAATAAAACGAATGTAGTCATCAGCGTAATAAATTTTCTTAATCAGCCACAAAGGCAGTGTCTCATCCTAACCGATCAGAAATCTCTTAGTATTTCAACATAAAGAGTGATTGAAAACGAAACTATTATGCAGTAGGAATAATTTAATTACTCAATTTTCAAAACAATAAGAGTATAATCAGTAGATAAACTTATACTAATACTGATCTATATTTTCGACAATGACAAACGCTTTAGTGTCCCAGAGAGATTTGATCAATTTTATAACGAATAATAATTTTTTAAACGAAATAACTTGGCGAATATAGATTTTTTTCTATCTTAGCAAACCATCATCAAAAAGGCATATTTTTATAGAATCATCGAATTACTATCTGAAAGTATTTTTATCAATGAAGATACAAAGGAAACGTTCTAAACTTGGGGACGACATCACATCACGAATAGCGAAAGCTAGAGCAGCTTTCGCCAACCGACGATACCTGTGGCGCCGCCATGACATCCGACTGTCCCTTAAGGGAAGGGTGCACATCGCTGCAGTTCGTAGTGTTCTGCTTTACGGTTGCGAGACTTAGCCTTTCCGAACGGGGGATGCTTATCAACATTTGGTATTCGACCACCGATGTCCCGAAGTATTGCTGATGTCTGGTGGGAACATCGGGTGAGCAATGACGAGGTTGGATGTGGATAGAAGTTCTCTAACGGAAGTAATCGCTCGACACCGCCTCCAATGTCTTGGTCACGTTTTGCATATGCCTGCCCATCGGCTACCTTCCCGTGCTTTCTTCGCACGTGTCGGGCAAGGCTGGAAGAAGCAACGCGGCGATCGGACCATGGCATGTGGTAGAGGTATGAAGAAGCTAGCTTCAGCTTTGACTTCGGTTGATGCAGCCCGCCTTCCAGGTTGGTGCCCAAGGCTAGAGGTATGAAGAAGCTAGCTTCAGCTTTGACTTCGGTTGATGCAGCCCGCCTTCCAGGTTGGTGCCCAAGGGATGAGGATTGTCGTTGGTTAGAGACGCTGAGAGATATGGCCCGGAATAGAAGTCAGTGGCGCGAATGCTGTACGGTATGCCTGTTGAAATCCTGTGCCCTGAAAAACAACAAAAAATCGTTATTCCATTTATTCGTCATCTTCTGTTTCGATAGTTACATCTTTTTCCCTATACTCTATATCCCAACCCTCCCCCCGTCGCGTTATTGTTATTGTTAACATTGTTGTAGCGTTGGCACCATGCTTGTTCTCAATCCGGTGTTAAATATATATATATATGACAGCTTTGTAAACAACGGTGTTGATTGTTGTTTTTGTATATATATATTCTAAACTAGAGAACGTAACATACCGCACAGAACATCTTTTAAATAAAGTTTCAGAGGAAAAACAGCGTGAATATGTTGTCGAAATCCAAACTTGTAAACTTTCCACAGACTGACGGGAATACTTGTATGCACTTTCAAGAATCATTTTC